GTTGCTGAGTTAATGTATCTTCTGCCATAACTAAGGGATCCTTAGAGTGAACTTCTTCTACTTCGTTCCACATGGGTATTGTCAAACTCTTTTCCCCCTCAGAACGTATCAACCTAATCATATGGAGAAAATAACTTTTTGGTTTGATAAATAGCTACGAAGGGCGGTTGAAGACACAGTGGTTGGTAGATGTCCTTTCTTCAGGAACCTTTAATGGAAGGTGACTTCTTTACCTATAGAGACGGGAGATTGAGTTTCTATTCGACAATAGAGGTTGCCTCATACACGTTTGTGACTTCTAGGGCTCAATCATAGGTGTTACAGGATCATATATTGAGAGATAGTGAGATACGTGGTATGGACCTTGATTTCGACAAAGCTTTGGACAATCTTAGTGTTGTGATTTCAGATTTTGACCTCGGCAATTTTATTAGAAAGGACAACATATTTTGGTGAGTGCCCTTTTTAGTAAAAGTGTTTAGGACATGGATGTAAAGTTTGACATGACCACAAGAAATAAAGTAGTTTTTAGTTGTTTTCTTTTTAAAATCTTGGTATCTGGCCTTGCACAGTTTTTGGTTGTTTGCAAGTAACATATGCTCAAGAATTTCTCCTTACTATATGTGCAACCCTATTTTGAGAAATCGGGATGGGACCTCCATCTGCTCGGAATCAAAATTGTCCCGACCTTCCGAGAGGAAGAATATATAAGAACTTAAGTGCTTCGCCCTTACAGGCCTCACGCTTGGGGGATTGTGTACATCCGAGGTTCTGTCCTGGATAAACTACCAAGTCAGTCAACAGAGTCCGACCAAGAAGTAACTACCAAGTTGACCAACAAAGCCCGACCACGAAGTAACTACTAAGTCGGCCAACAGAGCCCGACTACAAAGTAACTACCAAGTCGCCAATAGAGACCGACCACGAAGTAACTACCAAGTCAGCCAACAGAGTCTGACCACGAAGAAACTGCCAAGTTGACCAACAGAGCCCGACCACGAAGTAACTACCAAGTCGGCCAACAGAGCTCGACCATGAAATAACTACCAAGTCGGCCAACAGATCCTGACCATGAAGTAACTACCAAGTCGGCCAACAGAGCCTGACAATAAAGAAACTACCAAGTCGGCCAATAGAACGCGACCACAAAGTAACTACCAAGTCCGCAAACAGAGCTTGACCATGAAGTAACTACCAAGTTGGCCAATAGAGCCCGACCACGGAGCAACTACCAAGTCGACCAACAGAGTTTGACCACAAAGTAACTATTAAGTCGGCCAACATAGCTCGACTATGAAGTAACTACAAAGTCGGCCAACAGAGCCCGGCCACGAAGTAACTACCAAATTGGCCAACAAAGCCCAACCACAGAGAAATATCTTGTCCATCCAACAGAGTTAGACCATATAGTAATAACTCATTCGGCCAATCAGACACACGTTCATGGACATTTAGGAGGATGTTAGAACATGTCTCCTATGTGATAATTTCTGCATCAATAACCATGAATACTGATTTATGACATTGGTTACTCTTATCCCACAAAGAAGAGTATAAAAGAGAGACCTCATCAAAGAAAAATGGATCCACAATTTAAGAGGAAAAATACTTATACATTACGATCTCTCCCGACAAGCACCGAGGAGGTTATCAATATAGTTCTTCAGGAACAGTTGGCGCCCACCGTAGGGTCCAATAAAACTCTTCTGGACCACATAACCAATGCTCCAGAGTTCATCGATATTGTCAGCTATAGTGTCATGGCCATTGTTGCCATGGTTCTTAACCTATCCTCATCTAAATCAGTGCCTGTATAAGCAACTTTCAATTTGTTTATGGTTGTTGTAGAAGCTATTCGTCCAATCGGAGAAAGCGTTGCGATGATTCAGAACTTAAGGGTGAAGCACACACTAGTAACATCGTCGAAATTTTTATATATGTCGTACTGAACAATCGATAGGCTTCTAGCCGTCTAATTTTGTGTCGGTGACGACGAATGCAAAAGTCTTAGTGTTCTAGGAACTCAAAAGCATGGAAACAAGTTAGCAGAGCACGAAAATATCGCTGACATCCTCGTTGGAAGACAAGTTTTTTTCGCTCTTAGTTTTTAATTCAATATTATTATTATTATTATTATTAAATTTTGTGATTGTTGTTTGTGGAGGGGAAATAAGAAGAATGTGAATATCAAAGAAACTCTAGTTATGTTTTGTTTTGTTTATGCTTCTCTAACTGTTATACTTGTTGTATCCCAAAAATTTTCCTCTTATTTTTAAATCTAATTGGTTTATGCTTCACGTTCATTTGCATCTTCCATTAGGTTATGAATATCACCATCATGCATATCATTAGTTCTATGATTATGGGGTCAAGGTTTCTTGTAATTTGGGTTTTCTCCACTCAAAGAGAAGGATATGACACTCAAGGAAAGGCATGGTTGAACTATCCTCATCATGGTTATTTCTTCAAAATCACAAGTTGCTCACCTCTTCAGGAATTCTCAGAGAAATCTCAAGCTAGGGTTTCATTGTTTCAAGGTTGATCACAAGCTTATATCAAGATTGGCTCAAAGCTAGGGTTTTTGTCAAAGGCAACCAAGGATTGACTTTTTGACCAAATCTTGATTTTATTGTTCAATACATGATCTAAGGCATCTGTGTGTACTTCATTGATGTTCTCTAAGTGCTTCATGTGATTCTAATTAATAGATGAAAAGGAATTGGTTCAATTGAGAAAAGGTCAAGAGATACACAAAGTCAAAGGTTGACTTTTGATATTTTCGGTCAACCATGGACATTTCAAGTCAATATTTATGAAAAAGTGAGATTTGATCAAGTTTCGTCAAGAGGAATCATGAAAATCACAAAAGTTGTAAAATTAGAGTTTTGAGAATTTTTCTAAGTACAAATTTGCATGGCCATATAAGTAATTTTTCAAGGTTATATCTCTCTCCTCCATGATCCAAAAATTACAACCAAGGGATGAACTTGAAGATTTAATTTGATACAACATGTTTGTAAAAGATTTGAGATCAAAAGCTTTCTTTAATCGGAAGATATTTGATGTTGAAGTTGGTACAAAGGCAAAACACTTAGAAATTTTTTCTAAGTGTTGGAGCATATTCACGTGCATGACTTTCAAAGAGATTTTAATCAATTCAAGTCATCAATGTTGACACTTGAGATCTGCTTTTGTAGAGGGTAGTTAGTACTATATCATAACACAAAATTTGAGCCAAAAAATTATCCTTAAGAGAGAGAAATGTGGAGCTAAAGTTGAGAGATGAATTTGGTCAACTTGATCAAATGACTCGGAATTTCATTAAGTGTTCAAGTCAAATTGAAGGCATGACTTTGAGGTCATTTTACTTAATATTCTAAACTATTTTTTTATTTGATTTCAACATCAAAAATATTCTACTCCATGTCATCTTTCATTTGATATCAAGAACTCATCATTTGAATAAAGATTTAAACCCTAACAAAGTAATTTGACTAGATTTTTTTTTAGAGAATACACTAAACATTAATTTAATTATCTCTAATAAAAGTAACCTAAAAAGAAAATATGAAATATAAAAATAAAAGCTAATGTATCACTCCCAATTCCAAACATATATTTTTTCCACGTAAAATGTAATATTTTATTTGTATCTAATTCATATCTTTATTTCATTTACATAACATGTGTAACTTTAAATAAAATATTATAAATATAAGTTCATTAATTGTGTTTGCCAAAAATATATTTTAATCACGATTACAATTAAAAAAAAGTTAATCTACACACGCATCATGTGGATTTTAATGTAGTTTTTCTTAAATTTAAAGTTCAAATATTATTAAACTCGATTCACAAGTTCTAGATTAATAAACTTCATTCTCTTGTAAATCAGAGTGTGAAAGACGAAAAAAATTTAAATATTATTAATCTTTTTAGTTTGAATTTGTAAAAATTAAATCGGTGATTATTTTATCCTATGTATATATAATATAGTTAAATAGTTAAGCAATTTCTATTTATACTCTTTTATAATGGGTCAAAACTTTGAAAATCTCAAAATATATTTGGGTTTATTTGGATATGTATTTCCAAATGTATCAAATACTATTTTTTTTTGACAAAATACTATTCGGAGATGCATCTACAAATAAATTTAAGAGTAAATTGATTGATGTATCTCTGAAGTTCCTAAAATCTAAAGATAAATTTACGAATATATCATAAGATCTCTCTACAGATATATCTCTAAATTAACCTTTAGATAAAATAAAGAATTGATACGTTCGGAGATATTTCTCTAAAATTAGAAAATATTTTTATATTTTGGTTCCGAAAAAAAATATAAGAGTGTCATTAGAAATTCCAAATTTATGAGTCTGAGTTTAATGTACTCAGTTTGTCCTTAAGTTTTATGTTAACCAATTATGTTAGGCCTTTTTTTATATTCTAATTAATTCAAATATTCTATATATTTTCTTTCTAAAACCTCACTCACATTCCAATTCAAAACAAAAAAGTTACTGTCATCGTCAAGTCAATTACTCTTATCCAATGTTATTTTGTTTAAGTTGTCATATCCAATGTTAATGAACTTAGTAAAAGTTTGTTAAAATTATGTTTTATGAAATTAAGTTGTTTGAGTATTTTTAATTTTTCTTGTTAGTGAAGCATCATCATAGATTTTTTTTCTAAATTTAAATTATAAACGTCATATTTGTAATCTGTGTTTCAAAATTACAATGCAAATTTAAATAAATAATATATTACAAAGAATATTAATCATGGAGGAGTTATTAAAAATTTGTAGAAAAGAAAAGTAAGAATAATATTGAAATAATAAGTAAAATACCATTATTTTAATGTATGATACTCAAAACTAATCTCAGAAATAATTCTGATTCTACATGTCCATCCATTATTTGAGAATAATAAAAAGTGCTAATAAGAAAGAAATGAAAAAGAAAGCACAAATTTAAAAGTTCCCTATGGAGAAGCACTTAATTAGTTGAGACTGGATGTTTAGTTTGAAGCTTTACCAAAGAGTAATAAGCACCAGAAGGTCCATTAGCCAACAAAGTTTTATGAGTTCCAATCTCAACCATTTTCCCTTTATCTAAAACAGCAATAACATCACAATTTTGTATTGTACTCAACCTATGTGCCACAACCACACTTGTTCTTCCCACCATTACCTTATCCAATGCTTCTTGCACCACTTTCTCTGAATTGTTATCTAGTGCACTTGTTGCCTCATCTAGTAGCAACACTTTTGGATTCTTTAACATAGCTCTAGCTATTGCTATCCTTTGTTTTTGACCCCCTGAAAGTTGCACCCCTTTGTCTCCACACCATGTTTCATACCCATCTCTCAAACTAGCTATGAAATCATGAGCATTGGCTACTCTTGCTGCATCTATGATCTCAGCTTCATCAATTTTCTCACATGTTGTTCCATATGCAATGTTGTCCCTTATGGTTCCATTAATCAATGTTGGCTCTTGGCTCACAAGTGCTATGTGTTTTCTTAGTGACTTTAGGTTATATGATTTTATGTTCATACCATCTATTGTCACACTTCCTTTTAGTGGATCATAGAATCTCTCTATTAATCCTATGATCGTCGACTTTCCCGAACCACTTTGACCTACTAATGCTGTTGATTTTCCCGCTTCAATTTTAATTGAAAAACCATGAAATATTATCACATTAGGCCTAGCGGGGTATGCAAAATGCACTTCGCAAAATTCTATATGTCCTGTTAAAGTAACGGGCTTAAACCTCTCAGGATCGTCTGATTTGATCTTGGTGGCCCGATCTAGGATGGCGAAGATCGAGCTCACGGTATCTGTACCTTTGGAAATATCTTTAGTCATGCTTCCAGCGTCACCTATAACTCGCCCCGTACTTATCACAACCATAAAACACTCAAACAAAGCTTTCTTCGTTATCTTCCCTTCCGCCAAAAGCTTTCCGCCATACCAATAATTTAAGGCCCAAGAACAAGACATGAGGAATTGTGAAAACCCAAGCCCAAGACCAGCAAACCACGCTTGTCGAAAATTCTCTTGAATAGGGCCTTGTTGGGCCTCTTCAAGCATTTTGAGTATTCTATCTTGAGATGAAAAAGCAGTAATGGTTCTAAGATTTGAAACTGCCTCAGAAGCTAACTTACTACTTTGTTGTTGGGCCTTAATAGACTTGCTTGAAAGGCTTTTGAGCAAAACACCTTTTGTGTAAAAACAAGCTACTAAAATTGGTTGAATAGCTATGGTAACAAGTGTGAGCCTCCATGAAATGATTAATCCCATAGTGTAAGCTGTTGCTACTGCTGAAAATGTTTGTACCAACAAAGCCATTCTATCACCAACTATTGACCTCACCTAAACAAATGATTATTCATCAATAATCATAGTAAAATTGTTAAAGATAGAAAGAAGTAATAATTTAAAAAATTCACTAGAAACTTACCACATTAGCATCATTGGCAAGTCGAGAAGAAATAGCACCACTAGAATTTTCATCTTGATCAAACCATCCAACTTCAAAAGTGAGAATCTTAGAAAGCATGCTCTCTCTTACACGTTTAGTCAAGTACTCTCCCATGTAAGCAAAGTTATAGTGTTGTCCAATATTAACCACCAAAGTTATCAATGAGAAACCGAAAAACACAAGTGAGTAAACCTTGGTCTTGTTTTTTATTTCCTCGTGATCAGTATAAAAAAACACAGATATCATTGATCCTAATGTAAATGCAAAAGTAGGTTGAACCGCGCCAAACACCATTGCATTCAAACACCCCAAAACCGCTTGCTTCCATTCTGGAGCATTCAGTGCAAGTAATCTCCAAAACGACACGGTTTTATCAGTATCTTTATCACTCTTATTAACACTATCATTATTGATTTTATCTTCAACTAAATTGGTAGGTTCCACCACAGTTTGCGTGTTTGTCAAGGTAGTTGTAACCGTTTCTTCTGATTCTGTTTTGGTTTGTTGAAGGCGGACCAGGGATGCGTAGAGGTTGTTATCGTTTTGTAGAAGTTCGTCATGTGAGCCAATCTCGGTAACTTTTCCAGCGTGCACGACAGCAACAATGTCTGCGTTTTTTATTGTGGAGAGACGATGAGCGATGATGATGGCGGTGCAACCTGCTGTTGCTTTGTCGAGTGCTTGTTGAACGAGCCATTCTGACTCGGTATCTAATGCACTAGTTGCTTCGTCTAAAAGAAGGATTCGTGGTTTCTTAATAATTGCTCTTGCAATTGCTATCCTTTGTTTTTGTCCACCTGATAATTGAACCCCTCTTTCTCCAACCTGTATTAATGAGACGAAAATATACAAATTAGTCATTAAAATAGGTTCAAAATTCAGGACGTGAAAGACAGACTATCGCACAGATCTAAATTTGACATATTTAAAATATGATTAACTTACACAGAGCATTCAAAAACTTAAGATGGCTCTGTGAATAACAATGTCAAGTTTTCAAACAAAGTAATGGTGGCAAATTGATGTAACTCACCTGAGTATTGTAACCAGAAGGAAGCAAAGAAATGAAATCATGAGCATTACAAATTTTAGCAGCTTCAACAATCTCATCCTCAGTAGCATCTTCTTTACCAAACATTATATTCTCTTTAATGCTTGTTGCAAACAAAGCAGGTTCTTGACTAACCAACCCCATAATTGATCTAAGCCATTTTATCTTTAACTTATGAATAGCAACTCCATCGAGACGAATCTCTCCACCAATCGGATCATAAAATCGTTGCAACAATGACACTACTGTTGATTTCCCTGAACCACTTTCACCGACCAACGCAACTGTTTTTCCTGCTGCAATCTTGAGACAAAACTTCTTAAGGATAATGGTTTCTGGTCTTGTCGGGTATGAAAATTCTACATTGTCAAATTCCACTTCCCCGGAAACATTTTCTAGTATTTCTCCTAATGCGCTGATAGAATCGATCTTGGGAACTCTTTCTATTACTCTCTTGATTCTTTCACCGGCCGTAATTGCTTCAGAGAAATACTTCACGTTGGATAAACTAGCACCTAATGCTCTATTTCACACAAAGTTATAGGAAACACAATTCAATTAACATACAGTTTTTAAAAAAATCTGTAGGCATGATCTATTCGATACGAACAAGATACGGGAAAGATGTACTTACAATCCACCGACCGTTATGCTTGCTCCGACTGCAAAAACAGTCCCTCCTTGAGCACCATGGTACATAACCATTTTGCTACCATAATAGCACAAGAAAGCCCAAATGGCAAACACAAAACCATTGCTTCCAATGGCCAAACCTTTCGCTAATCCTTGTTTTAAACCCAACTCCACAGTACCTTCTAGAGCTTTAGAGAAAGCATTCATGGATTTTTGTTCCCCTACAAAAGAATAAACAGTTCTGATAGAAGATAATGTTTGTTCCGCAACTGTACCACCTTGATTATACTCTTCTCTGATCTTTCTTGATAAACTCATCAAAGTCTTGCCATATATTAATCCAGGGATCACTAGAAGAAAACTAAATGGAAATGCTACTATTGCCAATCTCCATAGCAATATAAAAGGCATTATGTAGCTTGCCATGAATGATGAAATGTTCATCAAAAAATTTGGAACCTGCATTTTTGTTTAATATAAAAAAAAAATAAAACAATTCCATGTTAAGTTTTTGGCAGGTCAGTGTAGGTTAGTAACGATTTAATTGTGACTATATAAATAAAAACTTTACTTAGTCACGGTTTAACCATGCTCTAATCTATTTTGCACACGTTTAAAGATGATCCCAAATGAGAAAATGGTGACAAAATTATAATACCTTTTCACTGATAACATCTTGAATTAAAAGAGTGTCGTTGGAGACGCTAGTGATAATCTCGGAAGTACTTGTGACCTGTAAATCAAAGTAAGCAACATCTTGTCTAAGAACTGCTTTCAAATATCTGCATCTCATTTTTGTAGCTTGTCTTCCACTTGTTCTTGTCCAACAATAACCCTCTAAAATTATGCATTAAAAAAACATTAATAATTTAGAAAATTTTAAAAATGAAAAAAGATTACAAAACTCACCAAAGAAACAAACAAAAAAAGATGCACAAGCCAAATAGAACCAAGCCAGTGCGTTCTGCATCATGAGTCAAAGAAACAAAACACTGTTAACTATTATTTCATGTATGAGAGAGAATGCTTAGAGAAAGATATAGGGAGAACCTTATTGATATTATGGATGAAAGTGTTTCCATTAGTGGTAGATGAAGTCCCATAATTATTCATCATTTGGCTACTAATAAGCAAAACCAAAGGAGTAATACAACCTTCACCAATAGCTCCAATGGTGCCTAAAATCATAAGGAACCAATCTTGTGTATCAGCATGCATGAAAATGGACCATATTGAACCATTCATGTTATTCTTCTTTTCCTTTTTCTGATCCACACCACCCATTTTCTTGATACACTTTTTTTAGAAACAAACAACAATAAGTTTTTGAACAACGTTGTTGCTTAGTTAAGGATTTATAGAAATCAGTGCGGTGGGGGCATATTTATTTAGGCTAGAATAATTTTTGGAATAATACAAATGTTAATGAATTTTATTAATTTGTTGAAGTTGAACCTAGACCAAGGTTAATACTTTGTAGACCGTATGAACTGAACTCTGAAAATTTTACTGTGTTGAATATGAAGTTGAACGTCTTTGACTTTACAATTATTGTTCTGAATGAGCTTAGGCGTCACAATTTTTATAGCCATGCATTTAAAATTCAACATTAGTATACAATTTATTTTGATATATTCATGTTGTGTCTCATTGATAAAATCAATTTGAGATAGCTTTTTCCAATTTCTCTTACCATCTCCATATTTCCGATTTTTCCTCTAACTTAATTTTGAATTGTTGATATACAACAACCGAAGAAATATAAGAAGAGAAAAAACTGCTTGAGAGGTTACTTTTACAAAAACCATTTATCAAATTTGTTTGTAACCATAATAATAGGAAGAGGTTACTTTTACAAAAACCGGTTATCAAATTTGTTTGTAACCATAATAATAAGAAGACAAAGGGGTGATACACTCAACCAATCAAATCTATGTATCCAATTACATCACCTTTTTATTTTAATTTTTTTTTAAAGACATAAAATACTGTTTGTTTTCTATCAGATGACAGGTGCATATCCATTAAACCATAATATGAAACACAAAAGAAAATTTCTTTGCCACAAGTTCTTAAATTTTATTTTGAAATTTATAAAAAAATATAGTGGGTATGTTTGGAAAAAAATAGGTCACTCCAAAAATATGTATTGCCTTTATTTTATATATATATATATATATATATATATATATATATATATATATATATATATATATATATATATATATATATATATATATATATATATATATATATATATATATATATATATATATATATATATATATATATATATATATATATATATATATATATATATATATATATATATATATATATATATAGATGATAAAATATAAATTGTTAAAGTATAAGCAAATTTACAAAAAGTAAAAAAAAAATATTCAACTAAAAAGTATTATTATTGATGTAAATTGTGTTATTGGTTTAGTATAAATGTTATCTCTGGTTCTGAGGTAGAAGAGTGTTGATTATGAATCCCCTATATTTGTGCCTTCTTTTGAGATACCTACTAAGTTTTCAAGCTTCAAAAATCGCTATTCCTCATTCTCCTCCTCCTCTTCCTTTTGTTCTTCTCTCTGCGTCCTCCTTCACCTCTTAATTCCTCGTCTATCTTGTCTCAATTCACACTTCTTGCTCAATCAGCCGCAAAATTTGATTAACTCTGAAATTCGCCATGGTAGATGCTTAGAATAATATCCATGCTGACGTCTAAATTTTGACAATTCTAGTGACAAAATTAGTATATATTTCCTAAACCCTAGACCTAAGGGATTGTATAAATACATCTTCCCTAATGAGAGATGGACAAAACACAATTGACTCAACATAACACTTATACACATAGCCTCTCACCTCACGTGAGTTGGTCCTCTCATACCACCATAAACACTGTAAACACCATATATAACCACGGACAAGCCATAACCGTTATAAAACTATTAAGGCCTTTAAGTATCCTCTACCTGTGTAGGGATACCACACACACATATACTTTTTTACAAGTACAATAGCTTCCACCGCGAGATCATGGTAAAACTAACCTCGACTACACCTTCTTCTATAATGACCATATTCATTGTCAACCCCACTCATGTACCTATACATTCTTAGCCATGGTTAACAAGATAGCACATTCCCCTACGCCGAAGGACACGAGGGGAAGTAGTGAGCCTAATGATATGGTGGATACGTGTGTCAACACGGACGAACCACCCCGACAGAATCAAACTCTAGAGGACAACATCCTCAATATCCAACAAAGGCAGCAAGAGACCAATCCCCCAAAGAAGATAAAAGTGTTGGATCCCCAACCACTCTCAAACGAAATATGAGAAGTGTATGTCCCTAAAGGATTCAAGTCTCTCTCTTTGGTCAAGTTTGATGGGCGTAGTGATCCTTATGAACATGTCATCTTCTTCAACACACAAATGGCCATCATCGAAGCACCTAATGCCCTGAAGTGCAAACTGATATCTGGTACCTTTTGCAGTGCAGCCTTGCGATGGTACTTGGGTTTATATCGAGCTTTCATCGCCAATTATCAGGAACTGGTGAAGACACTTCTACACGAATTTTTTTCCAGCCCTCATAGGAAAATGTCCAGTACCAACTTGCTTAACATACGACAAGGTCCCTCAGAATCATAGAGGGACTAACTCGCACTGCTCAATGAAGCTACCATAAAGTTCATCCTCCCAAACCAAGATATGTTTAGAGGGACGTTCCAAAATGGCCTCAAGGCGGGATAATTCAAGAAGTCTCTCTCTCTCCCAAAAGCCAACAGTTTCGTTAGAAAAAGTGGTCACCATAGCATAATGCTTGATAAAAGGTGACCAGAGATGCAACACCCTTCTAAAATCACATAATAATATTGAATATTTTAATAAAAAAACACAACCACAAGGGTGTCACATGCTTCAAAATCATACTAAACGCAATCCTGATCCGTAACACGGGTTACAACAAATCATAAAAACATATCATCGCTTGATCACCTTCACTTAGGGTATCATCGTAGTGGAATCATCAATAATAGATATAAAGAATTTAAATAAAGTTTATCAACTCGTGAAATTTAGTCTCATATCTTAAACTTCATAACATTAACAAAAGGAGTTGTAATAATTAACTCTAACAACTTATAATCTCAACAAACCATAATATTAATTCTCAACAAAAACCAAAACAAGTGAGAGTAAATGTTCCTCATCCCTATATTACATATCATATCAAGACACCTCTAAATAACAAAAAACTACTAAATACTCCAAGATATATCTTCACTACCTCCGCAAGTTACTCCTGAATATGTGTGTGTTACCCACGTGGAAGCAACATTCAAACAGAAGGGGTGAGTAATCACAATCAATTATGAAAGATATAAGTAAAGAGAATTTAAATCATTATGACACAATCATATAACACCATCAACAAGTCTTAACTCACACCCTACACATAATAATTATCACACATACAAATTTAATCATAGAAATTAACATGTAGTCACCTAACGTCTTAATATTAAACACATATCACATCATAATAAGATTATGCAATGCCACATAGATGTTATACAATGACACTGACCCAATGCATGTGATACTATAACATGAACACTTAGGTTTATTTCACTCCATGATCCCCACCATATGATTGATTCCCTATTGGATCCAGAGTACACCAAATCGCTATTATCATCATAGGTTACACTTTGTTAAACCCTTGGACAAAGGATATAGCTACTCACACTCAAACCATCACGATAGGAAATGAGGCCACAACATAATTTAGAACATAAGTTCCAGAACATGTATGCATGATTCACAACATGCAACAACAACAAAATCATACATATGTTCGACCTCGGCTAGTCAAGTGTGTCATCAACAACATAACCATCATCAACATAGCATGTATATATTTGGACACGCAACATCATTAAGAATTCATCACAATATCATCATCAATATCAACACCATAGCAACATCACCAACATTACCAACATCAACATCTTAACAACATCGTCGTAACAACATCAACATAATAACATAATCAAAATCCATCATAACATATAGTATTAATCATCATTCACAATAATCAACAACTAACATCAACATCTTATCAACATCATCAAAATAATGCATTCCAACACAATAATAGCACGTGAACCATCACCATAGGAAATGAGGCATACAACAACATTCAGAACATAAAGTTCTGCAACATGGGTACAAGAATCACAATATAATAATAATAAGACATGTAAACAATTAACTTTACAAACATAATATTCATCCATTTAATATTCAAACAGTTCGCCTAACTAAACCATGTTGTAGTTCTGCTTATTAGTTTCTCAATGTTTCTAATGGCACCTAAATCAGAATTACGGATCAAAAGTTATGAGGTAAAACGTTAAGGTATGTCAAACTTAAAAATAGAAAAATATTTTCAAAAATTCACATGATAATCGATTCACAGAAATATATGTCGCGTCTTCCAAAACAAAAATTTCACTTTCTAGGCCATTCAATTGATTGCACAATCAATTGCATCCTTTTATTTTTCAAAAATTTAGCTGATGCAATCGATTTCCCTGGGACTGTAATCGATTGCACTGGGAAAATTTTCCAAAAATATGATTTTCCTATTACGATTTTCCAGAAATGATTCCTATTCTCTTATACCCATACCAGTCCCGATTTAGTCTATTAAAAACATCAAAATTTCAAATTTTATTACACTAATAGATCAAACTGAAGATGTGAAAAACACAAGAAGGGGTGGTTGAATTGAAAACTTGGAACTAACAGCTCAAAGACACAGTATTTTTATCCTAGTTCGTTTGATCTCAAACTACTCCAGTCCACCCGTCAAGGTGATTTCGCCTCTCTCCAACGAGGTCTTAATCCACTAATCTCAACAAGATTACAAAAGCTACTTTAACAACTGTTAAAGTCTTCTTGAGTACAACCACAGTCCGGTTAATCTCAAGGAACACTGTTTCAATGTAAGTATACAAGATATATGTTGTTATGTTTCTAACAAAACTGTTTATCACAATTGTGATAAATTACACAGGATTATAGCTTGGAAATATAAAGAATATTGCTTGTAGCTTTGAATATGCGTGAGTGGTAATATGGCAAAAATCCTTTTTGATTTTGAAAGCTGACTTCGTTTATATAGGCAGTGGAATGATGTTGATCATAAATCATGTTTAATGTCATTAACACACTTTTCATTTGGATAAGATCCTG